ATTATGATGGGAAAATTGGCGGGAAAATGCCTACACCGTTCGCCATTTTGTTATACAAGTTACATTTTTTAATAGACTATTAATATTATAAGCTCTGTGGCATGTCGATGCATAAATTGGGCATATTCATGAATACACTGTGTTTATGGTACCGTTAGTAGATATCACTTATTTAAACCATACAGAATATTACATTACACTTCATTGTAATAGGTATATAATTACATTTTTTTATAAATACATACATAGACAAAACCTAGACCAATACAAACAGTCAACCTCATTATACTTCTCCGAAACGGCTCAACTCTTACTTGTTATACTGTAATTATTTTTATAAAAAATATAGATGTTTTTTTTAAAAAGAGCATCACATAGGTTTCTTGCTCATTCTTTCCGAATGAGTGGTAGAATCAAAATGTGACTAAACAAAAGTGCTTGTAATGAGTTTATTTGAATAAAGATTATTTCTATTCTATTCATTCATATATATACATATACATATATAATATGTATACTGGGTTATCTATTTTTTATACATTTAAGTGATAAGGGTGACCCACAACAAAATTTTATTTCTTGTGTTTATTTTTTATGAATTGGCATTAAAAATGCATACAACCCTAAACCAACAACTTTTATTTTTAATAACGATATTAATTAATGTGGCAAACAACGTTTGCCGGGACAGCTTATAATTTTTTTTTATATACTACGATGGTGGCAAACTGGCTTATGACCCATCTAATGAAAATCTATACATATCTATAAATAAAATTGGAGTGTCTGTTTGTAATATTGAACCGTTTTTTACTACATGCATATGAATATAAATACGGTAGATACACCAAAATAATATTTTTTACAATTTTTGTCTGTTTGTCTGTTTGTTCAGGCTAATCTCTGAAATGGCTGGACCGATTTTGACGGGTTTTTTTAGCAGATAGCTGATGTAATAGGGAGTAATCTAAGTTACTTTTATTTTAGAAAAATAAAGTTATATTCCACGCGGACGAAGTCGCGTGTACAGCTAGTTGATAATAATTAAAAAGTTAGTAGTGGTAGAAAGTCAGGTAGATACAAATATAATAGGTAGATATACTAACACCTGTACTTTTAACACCTGGTAGGCATCGTCTCCGTGACGAGGTGGGGGGCGGAGCGGTCCCACGGGATCGCTGCCGGCATCCGGGGGGGAGCGGCGGTTATCACGCATTACGGCTTATGTCATACACATGAGATATTATACGAGGATACATCGTGGGATAATCCATTTGACGGCGTCGTTGGTCTAGCGGTTTAGGTTTATTACTTCCGATGGTCGCGGGTTTGATTCCTCGCACAGTACAAACATTTGTATTCATGAGTGTGATTGCTTGTATTGGACTGGGTGTTTTCTATGTATTTATAAAAAAATGTATTTATATTTGTCTCTCTTAATATTTTCTTTAATATATTTTTAAGACTTTGCATCGTGACATTTTGTTGTTTTGTTACTAGTGTTTCTATCACCAGGAAGCCAGTTAGATATAAATAGAAAAAAATATTTATCGTGACGGTTTTTTTTGATGGATGATAATGGTATGGTGCTCACGTCTGCGCGAACGGTTTTACACTGTGCGGGGCATCAGTGGAGGTCGATAAGAAGAGCACGAGGTCAGGTCAGTTTTTTTTGTGGATGATAATGGAATGGTGCACCCGCCTGCGCTAACGGTTTACGCTGGCGGGGCACCAGTGGAGGACGATAAGATGAGCATGAGGTCAGGTCAGTTAGCCCATCGTGACAAATTTATCAGGAATTTAACACGACGGTTTCCAGGGGAAACCGCGTGGAGGTCGACCTGACATGGTACATTGCTAGCAATGGGGTTATCAATCCACATTACTAACAATCCCCTTCCCCCCAGGTTAGGTCAGTTAGCCCATTGTGAGAAATTTAACAGGAATTTATCACGATGTTTTCCAGAGGAACCGCGTGGAGGTCGACCTGATATGGTGGGGGGAAGGGGATTGTTAGTAATGTGGATTGATAACCCCATTGCTAGCAATGTACCATGTCAGGTCGACCTCCACGCGGTTCCCCTGGAAACCATCGTGTTAAATTCCTGGTGAATTTGCACGATGGGCTAACTGACCTGACCTCATGCTCATCCTATCCTCCTCCACTGGTGCCCCGCTAGCGTAAACCGTTAGCGCAGGCGGGTGCACCATTCCATTATCAAACCTAAAAAAAAAAAAAGACCTGATATGGTGGCAATGGGGCATCAGTTCTCGACATCATCCACATTACTAACAATCTCATTATTACTATTAGAAGTATGAAGGTAAAGGAAAACCGTTTCAGTTCAACCCCTGTTTGTGTCTTGATCTCCAATAGACATCACCGAGTTACAACACGAATTATTGTTTTCGTCCATTCGTTTTGCAGCGTTGCCACCTTAGTGGTTTCACCACTAAGTCAGGTTAATTTTATTAAGGTTGAGTTAATTTAGATGAAATAGTATAATATTTATTCGGAAGATATTGCTCACAAAACAAAACAAAAATAACCAAATAAATATATATATACTTTATCTTATAGTGACGGTTGCCACTTACAATAGTTAAAACGTTTTGTCATTTCAATTTTATTAAAAAAATCTTTTGATATATCTTCCGATGGTAGGTTGGTGTGTATCCCCTCTCCCCCTCGCCCTCGACACGTCCATGCTGCAGTTCACACCTACAGCGAAATAGGAAACAATTATTGACGTACGATAGGAAGCACGGCTTAGTTCCTGTAGGGCTCCAAGGGCGTAAACTGGGACAATGGCAACTCTACATATGTCACATATATCATATATGTTCTATAAAAGACTGCATAGAGAAATTTGTTTTTTTTTTTTTAATAAAACTAGCTGTACCCGCGACTTCGTCGGCGTTGAATGTGTGTTGTGACCTTTACCAAATAAAGAAAAAATATATATAAATATTTAAAGATTTTTTCTAAAAATCAGAAGATAAATATTTCATTGTTCTACCTTCAAAAATTACGAATTTCAATACAAACTTTCATCCCCTAATTTAATTTATCCCCTTAAAGGTAACATTTTTCAACAGCCTAAAAATAAGTTTCAATATTTTAGATAATAATGATTATAGTTCCGTACCACTTTTCATTACCCCTTTCAACCCTTTTTCTTTAATTAACACCCTAAAAAATAAGTGTCAAGCCTTTAAAAATAACTACTACTTAATACTTCTAAATAACCTTTCTTCTCAAAAGTAGCCTATATCCTTTAACAGAGTCTAGACTATTTGTGTACCAAACATTTAAATCGGTTCAGTAGATAGTGTTGGCGTCTATGCGAGACAGACAGACAGTAAATCTGTCTTTAGTATTTACAATATTTGTAAGATTGCCATCAAGGCAAATGATATACGGGCTACATAAGGAAAGAAGTCGCCTATGTACCTATATCTGACGACACTTATAATATTTTTGACATCCTTTCATATGTTTGTAACTTCACATATCATATTTTCAAATTAAAATTTATACATTTCTTTCGTCAGCTGAATCCAGTCTGCTTAACGATTAGGTGTTAATAATAAGGCCATATAACAACAAATAAAGTGAACAGAATAATTCGACCGTTTATATCTCTGTTGTAATATATGGAATTTTTATTATCATCTTTCAACTTTCATACATCTTCTACTTACATCATCTTTTACAACAAACTCCCAGAGTCTGTAGTCAATTTGCAAGAAAAAAATTCAAATGTGTCATAAAAATTTTTTTTGTAAAAAAGCTTACAAAATTTAAGAATTTATAAATGATAATAATGTTTTTGTAGAAAATATCTAACTTAAAATTCATAGCGCTGACAATGTTATCTGATTGAACAGAGATTAAGTGCGTAGCGTTTTCTATGTTGATTGTCGCATGCCTAATCCTTGTTGTTAATTAAATATAAGTAAATCGATATTTATTTAAAAGAACAACACAAGTTTCTTGCTTATTCTTCTTGTGATGAATCTGCATTCCGAATAAGCGGTAGAATAAAAAAACTTGACTATTCAAAAGTGCTTATATTAAGTTTATTTGAATAAAGATTATTTCTATTTCAATTTCTGTAATATACGTCGCCTCGACCAACAACATTGTATCCTTCACCCGCAACATAATATTTCATGTATTTTTTTATACCACGATGGTGGCAAACTACTCAGTATAAGTCGGGTTGATCAGGCGGTTTCCCTTGGAAACCATCTTGGTAAATTCCTGGTGATTTTGCGCCCTGGGCTAACTGATTTCATGTTCACATTTTTCTCCAATTTTAGTACAAAATTTATATATATAATTATATTTATATATTTTTTAATGAACAAAAAATTCTTTTGTAGGTACAACAGGCGAGTTTGAAACCGTATGGCATTCTCTCCTAGCTAAAGCTAGCTTGTGTGTGTGTAAAGCTAGCGTTGTGAAATTGTGTAGCTTATTACTTATAAAAATATTTGAAGGACTCATTTTCAGAGGACCCTATTGTTTTATACCTCAACCATTATATTTATTTGTCCTCAGCTACTTGTCGACAAAGAATATTTAAGACTTGAGGATAAGTTAAGGACACCAGCAATATTGTTCTGTCAATTTCAACTATGTATGAATCAAATATAGATAATTTTTAAAATTTTTACTACAATCTTTTATTTAACTTTCTGGTTTTTCTTGTGAGGAGTCTACATTCCGAAATGTGACAATTAGAGTATAGAAGTGCTTATACTATGTTTAATTGAATAGAGATTATTTCTATTTTATTCTATTCTATATCAGAATCAGAATGTAGAGTTTTCGCTGACACCAGCCAGCGAAAACTCTACATTCTGATATGGCAGCAAGTGCTTATTATTTTTGCAAATGAGGTATAGATGGCGTTGTACGGTTTCGGTTCTCAATTCGAATGCCTCTGCTCAGCAGGAATCAACTCGAATTAACTTGAATTCAGCGCAACTCGAATTAACTCGTATAACTCGAGTTAAATCGAGTTGTGTTAAATTCGACCATCTCTAACTATTGACAATCAGTAATGATAGATAAATTGACAATTAATATGACAGTTCGTCTTACGTGTTTTGTTATTTGTTTGTATTTAATTTCATTTAAAATTAAAACACAGTGAAGTGTGATATGTAATCTCCAATTATTAAACAAATTTATTGAATTATGGAGAATATGGTGGAAAGTACGAATATGCAATGTTGTTTGGGGTGTCTGTGTAGAAATGATGATCTTCTCCTTCAAAGTTATAATTTAAAAAATAAGGCATTGAAAGTAGTACTACAGGTATTTATATCTATTAGTTTCATAGAATAAATTGTGATAATACAAATATATTTAATAACATTTTTTATTCTACACTCTCGAGCAACCAAATCGACTCAAGCGCTACCTCTGCATTCAAACTTTGTTTTAAGCGAAAGTATACAACATTTTTATAAAAATGATATGTCATTTGAAAGCTTGAATCTTCAGCTTTTAGAAGATATCATCATTATAAATATGTATATTATTTTTTTTATTATTGGTTATAATTTAAATGGGGGAAAAATGGGATTTTGGGTAAAGGAGTTGTGTTCAGAACAAATACAAATAAAACACGTTCTTGAGAAGTATAAAATTTATTGGTTCAGTATTTGGTATTGCCCCCCCCCCCCCTGGCCCTAATTAGTGCCAGTAGTCGGTTCTTGATCAACCTTATAATAAATTTTTTGATGATGTCTTGAGGAATACCTTCTCACTCCTCTAACAAAGCTGCTTTCAATTCTTCGAGGCTCAAAGAGGCTGGATCTTCATTCTAATAAACTTAATATAAAAATTCTACTGCTATATCAGGAATAGAGATTCAGTCAAGATGAATTAGCAAGAAAGTTGCCTAAAGATCTTTTTATACACATGCTTTACAATTCATATTATAATATTCTGTGCAAACATAGGGTATGTACTAACAATAACAAATTCAGTTCTTAATTTCTTTATGATAAGCTATAAAACTTAAAAAAATATATTTGAATTCAGAATTTTAGAGCTCTATTATTGAAAATTCATGGTGTGTATACATAAAGTGACGGAAATGTAAAGTAACAGAGAGAGAGGGAGTAAAGTAACAGAAAAGTAGGTATTAAGGTGAGTTAAAACTAGTATTTATTAATCTACATTTGTTTCTTCCAGATGGACAACATATATTTATGTTACTTATGCAAACGGATAGCACAACACACGGAATTATTTATACAGAATGTCCAGAGCAATCAATTATTATTGGACAACTTTCCTAATGTAAGAATTCTTCTATATGTATATTGTTTATCTTGGAATGTTATTACTATTGAATATATAGCATTAGCCAAGAATTATTATTATTACTCGTTATAGCACCTTTAAAATAATACACAGGAACCATACAATTAAGAAAGAGACTAAGGTTATATTTGTAGTAAGGAAGGATAGCAGAAAGAAAATTTATTGAGAAATACAGTGATTTAACAGCGGTCTTGAAATATATATAATGCTAGCTGTCTTAACACTAACTACCAGTATTTTTTATATGGCAAATAAATTATGGCATAAAAATTTTAATACTAATATTGCCAATGAAAATTTTAAAATGTATGTTTTTTTTTATTAAAAAATACATTATAAAAAAATTGTCCTAAAAATAATTCATACATGATAGGGGTCTGAAATCACATAGGGGTATGAAAAATAGATTGTAGCTGATTATCAAACCTACTGAATATTATATACATATTCAGCAGGTTTGATAATCGTAAAATTAAAAATTGTAAGAGTATATAAAAATCTGCCAAGTCGTTTCGGAAGAGTATTGTGACATGAGAATTTCATATATAATATACTAAAATATGTCTTTCAGATTATGGACACAGAGTTTCAAGTAGTAAGATCTGAAACTCAACCACTAGTCAATTTATCACATTTCCCCCTAGATATAATACATTTGGATGGCACAGACAATGATACGGATTCCTTCATCATATATAACTGCAGTGATAATAAGGGAGTGGATATTAAAGTGGAAATGAAAGAAGAAGATGACATGATATTAGACCATTTGGAAGGAGAGTTTATTGATGATGACACAGGTATTATCATTCATAATTTAAGATTTTGACGTCCGATGGTCTCGGGTTTGATTCCTCGCACGCCACAAACATTTGTATTCATGAGTATGATTGTTTATATCGGTCTGGGTGTTTTCTATGTATAATATTATTTATAAGTATTTATGAAGAAAAACAACTTGGGTCTAGGTGGCGCTGTGTTAATTGTGTTGAGATTATTATTATTAAGAGCTGTACTCTTGCCGGTGGAGCTCCCACTGCCTTTCACTATCTTCTATCAGTCTGATACGACACGATGCCAACTTTTTCTTTAATTTGATTGATATAGCTGTCTTCGCCTTCCTCTCTTTCCATCTATTTTTCCTTCGATAATGTTATTAATTAGTTCGTCATGTCATATCAAGTGCTCCAACATTTTCCCCCGCGTATTATAACAGGTATTAATTAGTATTTACAAAAACACTTGAATGTGCAGCTGTCCCAGAAGTTGAAATCCCATTTTGAAGACCATTCTTAAAGCAACAGTTTTTTTAATCAAAGATAATGGTAAGATGCAGTCATCTGCGCTGTAGGTATGCGTCGGTGGGGCAGCAATGGAGAATGATAAGATAAACATAAGGTCAGGTCAGTTAGCCCATTGTGGCAAATTCACCAGGAATTCACCACGATTATTTCCAGGAGAAACTATATAATATCTCGAATTTATATACTTTATTGCACTTTTAACAATATCAAATAAAAAGATATACAGAAATGTGAGCAAGGGTGGACAAGAGATCTCTTCCAGCCAACCTAACGCTGCGACAGAGGTTTATCCACAGAATGACAGGAAATTGCTAGCACATGTTCAAAATACAAGGCTCGGCTCCACCCTAATGAGCCAGCCGAGAGGTTGGTCACTGACAACCTCTTACTAAATTCTCAAAATTTCTGAAAAATACACATACATATGGATTACACAGCCTCGGTGGTCTAGCGCTTCAGCACTGCTTTACTTCCAATGGTTGCATGTTTGATTTCTCACACGGTACAAACATTTGTATTCATGAGTATGATTATATGTATTGCTCTCAAAACACCCGTTTTGTAAGTATATTATGTATGGATTTGTAAACAAAAATTTGTATTTTTATCAGTTCTTTAGTACACAGAACACAAGTTCTACTTAGTTTGGGGCTCTGTGTGAATTGTTCTGGGTTATTGTAATTATTGGTAACTAGCTGTTCCCGCGACTTCGTCCGCGTGGAATTAAACTTTATTTTTCTAAACTAAAAGTAGCCAAAGTTACTTTTACATCAGCAACCTGCCAAAAAAAGTCCCGTCAAAATCGGTCCAGCCATTTCAGATATTAGCCGGAACAAACAGACAGACAAAAATTGTAAATAATTATATTTTGGTGTATGTACCGTATTTATATTCATATACATGTAGTAAAAAACTGTTATTTCAATATTACAAACAGACACTCCAATTTTATTTATATGTATAGATGTATTCTGATTACAGAATATCAAGCATCATTTGTTAAAGAAGAAGATGAAGATTTTCCACTTAAATTGGAGATAGCAGATATTAATTTAAAATGTCTCAACAAATCGCTGAAGAAAGGGAAGGTGAAAAAGAAGAGTATAAAACAGGAGGCAGTAAACGAGAGACGTAAGATGCATTCGATATATATAATTATCTAAGTCAATAATTAAATATGGCAACATTTTATATATGGCAATACCTACTACGGTTTCCGCCGGTAGCCATTATCTATCTGCAACATGTGCTTTGTAATGTGTGCGTGTGTATAAAGTGTCATGCAACCTCCTTTATGACTATTCTTTGAGGTACACCCGTCCTCACAATACAGTCTATTTTGAAATAAAATTTCATTAGAATTCATTCCATTCAGAATTCTAATGTCATGAAACAAACAAACATATACACAATTTCGCATGTACAATTTTAACATGGATTTATATATCAAACAAAGTTATATCCAAACTAGCGTTTACTAGAATTAATTATTAACATTTTTAAAATAAAAGTAGTCTGTGTTTTTACTTATATACTTAGCTAATTTAGCTAAGTATATACTTAGCCAGCCGTTTTAGAGATTTGGAATAACAAACAGATAGAGAGGCAGAAAAAGTTGTCAAAATTAATCATAAGTAAGTGCCGTATATATAGCTGTTAATTTAAAATTACAAACAGACACATAAATTTAATTTATTTATCTAGATATCCCCAGTGTCATAACTACACAATGTTTAGAAATATAAATATTAAATTTCAGATATTAAAATAGAAACTTTATATATATCCAGAGAACAATGTATGGAAGAGAGAGTCAAGATGGCGACAGATATAAAATATATAAATTCAATATATAAATGTGAAAATTGTGTAAAAGGTTTCAATTTTAAAGGCAGCTATGACAAACATATGGAGAAACATAGTCAGGTGAATATGCTGATTTTATATTATATTCTATTATTAATTTTATTTTAATAATTTTTAGCGGACAACATTATAATTTCTTTTTCCTATCCGCATGCATCCTTATGTAAAGTGCGAATACTGTAACTACCATATAATAAATTTAAATAAGTAGCTATGACGAGGTCGAGTGGAATGAGTAATCATGCTCACTAAAATGTCCACACATGTGGCGGCGTGGTGGGCCGGGTCATTGGGCTCCCTAAAATATGGTCGAGCGCAGTGATGGCAGGCTCATCCGTTGTACTCGTGAACGAGTGCTGCTTGTAGGGACTGGTCTGCTCTTATCACTACGACTGATTTAATCTAATTGTGTTTTTATATTTGCAGCTAGTTAGTATTATTTATTTAGCTGAATTAGTGCTGGTTGGTAGTTTGTATTCACACGTTTCGACTTGTAAAATGTGAACTTACAAGGATTGTTTAAAAGAGCAACACAATTATTGAGCAAAGCCCATTACTCACTAAAAAATTACTTGAATGACGAGCGTGCATGGCAATAGTTGTTCATGCACTGGATTTTCATTTAATGTTAGACATAGACACCTATAAATATACATTGTAAATAAACTGGCTTTAAAAAAAAAGTAATTCAATTGAGTTTCTTGCCAGTTCTTCTCAATTGGATCTATATTCCGAACTGGACGGTAGGGGAAAAATTAAAATTATAATGTAAATATTTGATGTTCATAAGCGGCTAAAATGAATATACATATATCTATTATAAGAAATCAAATGTTTGCTCAAATACTCATCCTCATAGACTCTTTAGCATGCTTAATTTTTTTATATATTGCTTTGCTATACCATTTTTATATGCTTTTTTGCTTATTTTGTTTTAAAGAGAGTATATATAGTACGTTTTATTGTAATTATATCCCTCTATCCATTGTTTATATAAGTTTACCTTAATCAAACTTGTATGTATAAATTTGTAAATTTTTCAGAGTATAGGCGAATTTCAATGTGACATTTGCAAGCAAAGAATGGCCACAGAAGAAAAGTTACTCAGTCACAAGAGATACCATCAACAGTAAGTAGTAGTCTTTCGTACAGCTCGCCATCTACTGGGAATTCATCCCCACACGCTAGAGCCTAGGTCTCGGACAGTGCGGTTTTAGAGAAGCTTTCTCCCGCGTACACTTAGATTATGGAATGACCAAACTGCCAAGGTTTTCTCATGAGACTACAGCATGGTGTTTTTGAAGGTGTGTTAAGGTTTCTTAATACACCCTGGTATTTCAGGCGTCCATAGGCTATGGTATTTTTGGTAATTTTTAATTTCACCGTTCTATCCTCAACTCTTATTTTTTTAAAATAAGTTTTGCGGGGTTATATCTAGTTAATAAATGTATATATGTATATACCGTCGACTTGTTTGTCATTCCAACTATACATATATATATAAACCGTTTGTGTTCACAGACGATACAAATGTTGCGAGTGTGGTCTGACCAGGATAAGCCGACTGTCCATACAGGATCACTACACAGCCTTCCATTGTAATGGCTACTACCAGTACAACTGTCCGCACTGCTCTAAGGTTTTCAAGTGAGTGTATTTAGAAATCTCTACTTTTTTTAATCCCGGAGAAAATTTGACGTTTCCGATGTTGCCATGTTTGCGCATTTTTTAAATATGGTTGTGGCACTATCAGAAATTAATACTAATTACCCATTTTTATAGGTTATTTAGAAATATTGTTTGAGTGTGTATATAAAACATATTAACACAAAATTCTCCTTTGACAAATTCACCGGGAATTTACCACTATGGTTATAGTGGTAAATTCCCGGTGAATTTGTCACGATAGACTAACTAACCTGACCTCGTGCTCATCCTCCACTGGTGTCCCGTCAGCGTAAACCGTCATCGCAAACGGGTGCACCATTCCAATATAAATAAAAAAAAATATATCTAATTACATTAAAATCAGACATAGATGTAATTTACCATATACAGTATTAAATCACAGTACAATTTTTTTAATATAACTTTTAATGCAAATTTTCAGACGTCAAGTATCACTAAGGAAACATGTTGTGTACTCCCACACGAATAAACAACGAGTATCCTGCGCGTACTGCCATAAAACATACGCCAACAAAGAAGTGCTGAAAGGGCATATGATCATGTGAGTATAGTAAAGTATTCCTAGATTATAATGGAATTTTTTATTTTTTATTATTAACGTTTATTCTTTCGTACATAAATATTAACACTTACTTATTGGGGATTGTGATTAATGGGCTGTTTCTCCTATTGGTATTGATTGATAATAATGGAATGGTGCACCCGCCTGCGCTAACGGTGGACGCTGGCAGGGCACCAGTAGAGGATGATAAGATGAGAATGAGGTCAGGTCAGTTAGGTCATCGTAGTAAATTCACTATGAATTTATGGTACAGGGTACATTTCTAGCAATGGGGTTAGGGGCCGTTCAAGTATTACGTAAGCAGATTTATTATAATTATAGTAGAATGTCTTGTATGTGTAATGTTTTATATTTGTAAATTTATTAGTTGCAATAAAATGGCCTTTCTATAACAAAAACAAATCACACAACGTTTAAATAATACTCACGGTAATTCTACATAGTTGACGTGGGGTGCTGCTGTTTTTAAATGCTGTTTCAAACGACTTAAAACTTCTGAAAATAGTTTTTTTAGCATAGACAATGTTCCTATGACGTAATCATCATCTAGACTCCCTTACCCCCCATGTCACCTAAAATAAGCAAAGTAAAGATGATACAAAATATTAAGTTTATTTGAATAAAGATTATTTCTATTTCTCTACTTCAGGAGGCATGCAAAAGAAGTGGCTGGCGGTGAGGTGAACAAGAAATATATATGCCAGGAGTGTGGTAAAGCTTTCAAGGCTCCGTCTCATCTCAAGAACCACAGTATAAAGCACTCGCATAGACGAGATTATTACTGCGTCGAGTGTGACAAGTGAGTACATGATATTTGATTTTTTGTGTATCTTAATCATTACATATTACATTACATTACATCATACAAAAAAAAACAGTATAAAACAACGTCGCTGTCGCGTTCTGTCCGACCCTATGTATGCTTAAGTCTTTAAAACTACGCAACGGATTTTGAAGCAGTTTTCTAGTAGATAGAGTGATTCAAGAGGAAGGTTTATATGTATAATACATGTACACCCGGGTGAAGCCGGGGCGAGTAGCTAGTAATATTATGAATTATGAAAAGTTTGTGAGTCTGGATGGATGGTTTTTACTCTTTCACACAACTTTTTACTCTTTTACTTTTTGAAACTACTGAACAGATTTTGATTAAACTTTACAGTCATGTACCTTATGGAACACAGACTATATTTTATACTATCTGTACCCGCGACTTCGTCCGCCTGGAATTTAACTTTATTTTTCTAAAATAAAAGTAGCCTAAGTTACTCCTTATTACATCAGCTATCTTATATCGGAATAATTGTAACAAATCTGCTTACGTAATACTTGAAAGGCCCCAATTATTAGTTAAAAAAAATAAATCTTAAATAATTACAAGTGTTTTATATTTTCAGAAGTTTTAAGTCGAATTCGAGTTTGAAACAGCATTTAAAAACAGCAGCGCCCCACGTCAACTACGTAGAATTACCGTGAGTATTATTTAAACGTTGTGTGATTTATTTTTGTTATAAGAAAGGCCATTTTATTGCAACTTACAAATATAAAACATTACACATACAAGACATTCTACGTAGCACTCATGTTGACAATTACTTTGACAATGGCATTTGATTCAGCCCGAACATAGACCAAATTATATTCCAACAATTTTATTTAATTCCACTACTATTAGTGTACACGTAACTTACACGGAGGTAAGGGTTATTATATTAAACAACTTAGTTCGGTCTATAAATACTAGATGGCGCTATTTACAATATTTGTACTAATCTTTACATTGGGTATTTCATTAGTATAGACACAGATAACATAATATTACATACAGATACCCCATCCCATACAAGAAAATGGTTCCTTCCTAACTCGGGCTATTCTTCGGGCTATTTTATTTCGCCGCCGTAGCCGCTAGATGTCTCTAGATCTGAAGCAGTTCGGATTACTAGTGGGTGCTTAGTAACAAAGCACGAAAATAGATGGCAGTCAATTCAGTCTACATGACATCTGTTTTGCAAAGATAGGTATATACAAATATATGTAGGTAACTGTATCGTGTACCTCATTAGGGACGATTCAAGATTCAATGTAAATGTGTAGGTATAATATCGTTAGCCGATACCCTGCAGATATGGCTTATGTGCCAATGTATATATTATGTTATAGTTTATTCTACATTCCATGCCTATTTTTTTCTCTCGACGAAGATATGTTGTAACGCGTACTGATACATAGATTTTGATACGTTTATACTCGTACGTATCAACATCGGGCTATATTTTTTTATTTCAATCGTTATGTGTAAGAGACTGGTTTTAGCTACAATGAATTTACTGGTATATACCTCATGTATTCTACGATGTACCCATCTTTTCCCTAATGAGAATTCCGCTATATCTTATATATAAACTTCGTATCACAGTGTTAGTTGCCATATTTCTCCCACATTTTGATGAAATTTGATATGTATACTTGCTAGGTCTGAGGTAGGGTTGTTATCTATCTATTTTTTATACCCCTAAGTCATAGGGGTGGCCTACCCTGAATTTTTTTTTTTTTTTTTGTATTATGGACAATTTTTTATTTATTTATAATGTTACATACACGCCTAAATTTTGGCCCGTCTTTCACCAACCCCTATTTTTAATAGCGATATTCTTACAAATATTATAAATGCTAAAGTAACTCTGTCTGTTTGTCTCGCTCTCACGCCCGTTACACGTTAGAAATGTGTAACAAATCTGCTTACTTAGTACGAAATTATGTATATTACAATAAAACTTAACGAGAAAATATTATAATGATGTCACTGGAACACTCATTGCTTTACTACTATGCCGTCCATTAGTCGCGAACTTTCTGGATGCGCGAGAGGCGCGCTCCTATTGGTCCGTCGGTGCGGTTACCGCACGACGCGCATGCGCTGTACGCTTAGATGAGTCTCACGGCACGGGCGTAAGTACTTACTATGTAATATGTATACATATGGGTGTCACAAATGTTTTTATTACAAGTAATATTACTCTATTATCTAAGCCAGTAATGTGTGCTTATTTTGAACTTGATAATATTCAGAATTACTTGTATACATAACTTTCGATATCTACAATAATAATATCTTTGATGTATGAAAGAAATGTATGTACCTACATTAAAAGATAATTTTTGACATGTATGAAATGTAAGTACCTACATTAAAATGTAATTTTTAAATGTATGAGATGTATGAAAGAAATGTATGTACCTACATAAAAAGTTCATTTTTGAAATGTATGAAAGAAATGAATTATACATTAAAAGATAATTTTTGACATGTATGAAATGTATGTACCTACATTAAAATATAATTTTTGAAATGTATGAGATGTATGAAAGAAATGTATGTACCTACATAAAAAGTTCATTTTTTAAATGTATGAAATGTATGAAAGAAATGTATGTACCTACATTAAAAGATAATTTTTGACATGTATGAAATGTATGAAAGAAATGTATTTACCTACATTAAAATATAATTTTTGAAATGTATGCACCGTACAATAACAATACACGTTAAACATCATACCACAGTCATACGCAAGTTAAAAACAAACTGCTATGATATTAATGAGAAAGGAAAATCAACTTTATGGTATTCGAGTTAGGGTCGATTTCTCTCTTTTTTTTAAATACTATTTTAATCTTGCCAGTATTCAAAGACAACTACGATTCGTACTCTATATTTTAAATTATTATGTAATCGATTTTTCAGTACAAATGTAAATAACCAACGACACTAATAATGTACTACTATATTCCGTTCTTTGAAACGGAACACTGCTATAATACAAAATAATGAAAATTTACTGTTCACAACGACTCATTAAAAGCATCATCGAATAATGCGCTGTAATAAAATCCTGTTATCGATTATTCAAAAAAATCGATAATACATGTATTTATTTTTAATATGACAACACTTCATACATAAGTATTATTGGAAATAGTATTACTTGCTTGTTCGGCTATTTTTAATTTACTTAAAATATTTTTATATGTTTAATTTACAATAATGATATATTAAGTGCTTATTATTGGAAAATATAAAAAAGACATTTAATTAGGCCGATACAAATGACGACAATGCCATCTATGAAAGCATTTTGAAAACATTGAGCCCCGTATTAGCACTGATTAAATTAATTAAGTACTGGAAAATAACAAAATGAGTAAATATATGAAAATTACTTTTCTGAACGCATTATTTCATTTTAACATGTATATATAACTTTTTAAAAATTGATTAAACATTTTTGTAAACACAGTTTTGTTTTTTAAAACGTTTGCAAAACTATGAAGAATTCCATCGATACCAATCACGCCATCTATATGCAACTTTTAGCAATAATAATGGCTACTTCCTCACGGATTGCCACTGGTACTAAACACAAACTACCTTCTTTTAATATCTTTTTAAAATATCATATTTTTCTACAATATTGATGTAAACCCTAACATTAGCATGTGTGAGATCACAAATATTCAGTGGAGATACCTGACCACTACTGGGGGGAAAGGGGATTGCTAGTAATGTGAACAGATGATGATGATGATATCATGTCAGGTTGACCTCCACGCGGTTCCCCCTGGAAACCATCATGATAAATTCCTGGTGAATTTGTCACGATGTGCTAACTAACCTGACTTCATGTTCATCTTATCATCCTCCACTGGTGCCCCGCCAGCGTAAACCGTTAACGCAGACGGGTGCACCATTCCATTATCAACCATGAAAAACAACCTGACCACTATTGGAAGCGTCTTCTCTATTGGTGATCAAATTCCGACTGTGTTTGTTTGACTTGTGTCCGAGGCATCATCAGGCAATTAATAGAGTTTGGAAGCCTAGTGTTGATTGTTCGGATTAATACCAGCTGCTGAGTTTTACCAGCGTACCACTCTCCCGAAACTAAAATCATCAAACATCCTGATCATCTGGATGAATGGCGGTCCTCCACAGTGCGGTTTTCTAGAAACTTTTTGCCATGCACAACTACATTGTGGAATTACCTTCCAGCAATGGTATTTCCGAACCGATACGATATTGAAGCCTTCAAGAAAAGAGTTTAGTCCGTCAACGTACTTGCAATTCCCCTGGCGTTGCGGGTGCTCATGGGCAGCGGTAATCACTTACCATCAAGTAAGCCACAGGCTCGTTTGTCTCCTGTGTTATAAAAAAAAACTAAACTGCTAAGTTAACTAAGTTGCAAACGTTCAAAGAGGAAACACGTGTCGCAAAATGTGTGTAGATTCAACAACGGTCGGAATTTGATCACTTATAGACTAGAGCATATAGCTTCCAGTGGTCATATTTTCAGACGCAATATTTTTATCTGTTAGCTCAAGCTTTTGCCTATTTCATTATCATCCATATAATAATAATATATTCTTATTTGCTAGTCTGCCGTGCCTGCATTGTGAGAAGCGGTTCGCAATCCGCCGTGACTTGGAGCGACATACTAACAGAATACATCTCAACATAAGGCCGCACCAGTGTGACAGGTGTGACAAAGTGGGTATCGTAACAAATTATTTTTAACAAAATTGTTTATTTTTTGTATTTAAGGTTTTAGGCTATTGTCAGGTTTTAAGACCTGTAAGACTGCGACCTCCATAGATCCATTGTGATGCCCTTTTTCAAAGTTCGCTACCTACCCGTCAAGGACAAGAATTAAAGGATATACTTAAAAGCGATGGTTTTTATCTCCTCAGGATATAGTGTATACATTCCAAAGGAGATATTTCGTTTATGCATTAGAGTGCTACAACCACATAGGAGGTGTAGGGACGTTTCCTCTTCTGCTTGACAAAATCTGCAGATTGTTGAAGCTGAGGCCTAATTTTGCCATGTGTTTATTCAATTTGCAGTTTTAAGTAGTTGCGCTTAACTAGTTGTTTTAACTAATTTTAAAGATTAAGTTAATTTGTAGTTATGAGCATATAGATGTATGGTTATAATGGTAGATTATATGGTAGAACAATATCTAAATTATAATTCAGAATGTTATCTATACATAAAATTTTAGTGTCTGTTTGTAATATTGAAATAACAGTTTTTTACTACATGCTTGTGAATATAAAAACGGTATATACACCAAAATAAGGTTTTTTACAATTTTTGTGTCTGTCTGTTTGTTCCGGCTAATCTCTGAAATGGCTGGACCGATTTTGATGGGACTTTTCTTGATAGGTAGCTTATGTAATAAGGAGTAACTTAGGCTACTTTTATTTTAGAAAAATAAAGTTAAAGTCCACCGTTAGCGCAGGCGTGTGCGCCATTACATTATTATATGATTGACTCTCTTATGATGTAAAAGGCTAATAACAAACCAAAATCCGAAGTATAGCGGTAGGCTCCATCTTCACCACATAACCTTACTCGATAAATGGGCTTATAGTTCTTGAGATTAGTTCATTCAATCAAACAAACAAACTTATAATCTTTATAATATTAATATAAATAATTTTTCTTACAGGCTTACGTTAATGGGTGGTCGCTGAATGAACACAAGCGGGTAGTACACGAGGGCTATAAGAGACCACTCAAGTTCCCCTGTCCCATGTGTGATAAAGTTTTCGATGTAAGTACAAACCTACGAATAACTTATTTATTACTAGCTGCACCCGCGACTTCGTCCGCGTGGAATTTAATAATATTTTTCTAAAATAAAAGTAGCCTAAGTTACTCCCTATTACATTAGCTACCTGCCAAAAAAAGTCCCGTTATAATCGGTTCAGCCGTTTCAGAGATTAGCCGGAACAAACAGAACGACAGACAGACAGACAACAATTTTAAAAAGTGGTTTTTTGGTATATGTTCCGTATTTATATTCATATGCATGCAGTAAAACACGGTTCTTTCAATATTACAAACAGACACACCAATTTTATTTATATGTATAGATTATATTTTTTGCAAGGGCAAACAAGTTGACGGATCACCTGAATATGTAAATGACAACCGTAGCCCACTAACTCCTATCGATCGGAGATAGTCCCGGTCAAACGGGACGAATTAAAAATCAAACGAGGTTTTTTTTTTTTTTTTGTGGATGATAATGGAATGGTGCACTCGCCTGCGCTAACGGTTTACGCTGGCGGGGCACCAGTGGAGGATGATAAGATGAGCATGAGGTCAGGTCAGTTAGCCCATCACAAATCACGAATTTAACACGATGGTTTACAGGGGGATCCTAAGCCTAGGGGGTTATCAATCCGAAGTCGAGGTCAAACACCCTACCAGTGACCTTAGACTAAAGTCTAAGGGGTGTGACCTTAGACTCAGGCTAGACCCTAAAGTCGGGTTGCAACCTGTCATATTTATTTTGAAAATGGGAGAAATTTTCAAAAGTTCAATTCGATCGAGATTTTCTGGTAAGGGTTCGAGGGCTTCCTGAGCTTGAGATCCCCGGGGCACTGCCCCGCCTAGCTTCTAGGTAACTACGCCACTGGTCCACACCATCAGGACCCACACGGGGGAGAGACACTTTGTACAAAGTCGTCTGTGCGATAGTAGTAATATTATATTTGCTTTTTTTTACAGCGTAACCAAATATTAAAGGGTCACATCAGAACCCATACGGGGGAAAGACCGTACCAGTGCAGCAAATGTCCAGCACAGTTCAGCCAGGCCTCCATACTGGGGACACATGTTAAGTTAATACACCTCAAAGTCACCAGGGATGGAAGACCAAAGGTTGCCATGAAATAATGACATATATCTTTTTTACACAATAATACTGTAGTTTGTTCTCCATCCCAAATGTGTACGTACGGCAATATGCCAATTTTTATGATGATTGGAATTGTAAAAAATAAATTAATAATTTTCAGCATCACTAATGTAAACTTGCAAGCATAGACAATGTACAAATGTATAAACATGTATAATATATTCAGTACAAGTTATGTATGTAAAGATACATTATGTAAAATGTAAACTATGAGTATTTTATTTTCCTATGATACAGATACGGATATTTTGAAGGGTTTTTATATATTGAAGGGTAAGATAAGTTTAGTGAATTTACAGCATAAAAGGCATAACATCTTAGTCCTCAAGAATCCCCTCTGATCGATCCCCGGTCCAATTCAAACGGAGATCGATATTACGACGGCCTGAGCCGAGGTTCCAACCCCTAGCGGTGCCCTCAGAATGTCCATCAGGCGGGAGTTGACCTTCAGCCGCTCCATAAGTCTATCGTCCGGTGAAGTTGTAAAGGCCAGCTGCGGCTAACAGCATTAAAGTAGTGCGAAAATAAAGTCCTCAGGAAAGGCATGAGTGGTATTATTAAAACCGTTAAACGTATTTTTAATTATGGTAAATAAGAGGTATTTACCTCTATCGGTGTTTCGACTAGGTGGCACTAGCCGTGGTCACAAGCTGACTACTGAGTCAGCTCGTTTAAAACCCGTTAAACTATATTAATAATGCGTACTAAACTCTGGCATTTACAGCTTTACTAAGAGAATTAGGGACGAGCGCAGATAGCACTCCAAACCCGTCTGAAGGTCAACTCCTGCCTGAAGGATACGACTTTAGTCTGAGCGCACCGCTAGGTGTTCCAACATTGAATCGGACCGTAAATTCAATCCTCGTTTGAATTGGACGGAGCATCGATCGGAGGCAAACGCGCGCGCGCAGGTGGCCAATTGATTGCGCAGTATGGTGTGGTTGAGGTCATCGTCTTCGCCCGCGAGGACGGTGTCGTGTGTGTGTGATAGCGTGGTAAGAAAGGAACAGGTGACCTAACCTAGGGAGGTTCTCTGCTGTTATAGGATCACCGGGATCAGTAAGAACGTGCCCAGAGCGGCATTGACGCTAAGGAAAACGTGAAATCCGTGATGCTATTCATATATATAGGCGCGGATTACGACTTATCATGAGGTAGGATGTGAGCTAGACAAAAAAATCACTTATTTTAAAATACCATTAAAATTACAAATATTATTTAATTTATATTATGGATATATATATTTCAAAATAGTAAATTTTAAATTTGCAAAAGAGAATGCCCTCAATAAGTCGAGGGCTGTGATATGGTCATGCACATGACTTCTGATGGACGCCGAGTTGATTCCGGGACGTAAATTTTTCTTAGCAATTCTTGCATTTCAAAATTTCCAATCCAGCGTGTTGCCTGAAATTTATATATTTTTTTATATAACTGAAATGGTAGTTAGTTATTTTTAAACATTCGTGTTTAATACCTTTATTTACCATAAAATTATGAATGAGATTGCTTGATGGATGTTTGTTACGTTTTCATGCAAAAGCTTTCCTGCGGGTGAAACCGCGGGCACAGTAAGTCTTATTATAAAATTGAAGAGTTTGTAAATAATAATATTTTTAGAAAAAACTTAAAATTCATAGCACTGACATTATTATCTGATTGCACAAAGAATAAGTTTGTAGCGGTTTCTCTATTGATTTTCGCATGCCTCATGTTACTGTATACAAATTTATTTAAAATAACATCTATTCAAAAGTGTACCGCACAAGTTTCTTGCTCGTTCTTGTGATGAGTCTGCGTTCCGAATGAGTGGTAGATTCAGAAGAGTAATTGAAATTCAACAATTCTTTATTATTTATATAACGAAACCCTTACTAAGAGCCACTCAGTTGGTGAAGACTTATTTTAAGCATGAAAATGCTTGTGCCAAATGCTCCACTTTTCCATAAATTATAGAGTAGGTTTATAACTAAATATTTCTAATCTATACTTATAAATAAAATTGGAGTGTCTGTTTGTAATATTGAAATAACCGTTTTTTTACTACATGCATATGATATATAAATACCGTACATACGACAAAATAACATTTTTTACAATTTTAGCCTGTCTGTCTGTTTGTTCCGGCTAATCTCTGATGGGACTTTTTTTGGCAGGTAGCGATGTAACAAGGGGTAACTTAGGCTACTTTTATTTTTAAAAAATAAAGTTAAATTCCACGCGTACGAAGTCGTGGTTTATTATATAATCTTTGGACTTGAGATGAATGTGTGTGCGTATGTGTGTGTTTGTAATCTGACTATTCAAAAGTGTTTGTATTGAGTTTATTGGAATAAAGATAATTTCTATTTCTAGTAATATGTATGCGCATACCTCGCGTTGTGTCTCAGTAGAGTGCTGCGTTGTGTGAACCTCTTATCACAACGTGCGCACGCGTACGCACGCTCGCCTGTGTGCGTGCGTTGATGCAGTTGTAAGTTAAATTTCTTTGCGAATGATTTGTTACAGGTGCTGAAAAGTTCAAATAATAATACATCAGCGTACACGATGTAAGAACACGCGTTACGTTCACGCTTATATTAAAATTTCAAACGGATCCCTAGCCCCGGAATTAAGGGGTGGAGGGCAGGGAGGGCGGGGAGGGGGGGGGCAAAACGGGGTCTATGTCCCGGGCGGCAAAAACGATCTTGGCAGATGAAACACATCTCATAATTTTTGACGCACCTTTGACCACTGACTGGCGGACGTCAAGTAAATTCTTCGTGTTCAATGCATTTGAAAATTAAGATAACAACTAATTTGTAGCTTTTTTACATAACTGTTAAAAAAGTCACAATAATTAATATGTGTATTGCAAAAATGTTGACCGGAGGGGTAGGGCGGGGGAGTGATAGGGGGGCGGCATATTATAATTTTTGTCCCGCCTCGAAAAAAATGTTATGTAAGTGTTTGAAAATATTTCATCGCCTACGTTTATCACAGATAATAGAAGTGTAATCGTAAAATATAGGTTATAATGCCTCCAGTAGAGAGGGTCAGGTTTCCGCACTGAATATTTGCGGTCTCACACATGCCAATAATAGTGGAATATAATATAAATAATGAAATGGACTTCCGCAAAACAGCTAATTCGATGAAATACATACTTTACAGCGTCGTCAGAACACCTATTATGAATGGTATTTGTTTATATTATTTAATTCTGTAGAAACAAATCTGTAATTTATACCTGCATTTATAGGGTTTCTCTCCTAAATGCGTCCTCTTGTGGAATTTCAGTTGTTCGGCGTTCGTCAGAGTTTTACCACAAACGTCACATAGGAAACTAGACTTAATGCCGTGCTCCTGAAATAAATCAGGCCCCCACAGAAATAAAAATGATCTTTATTAAAATATATAAGCGATTTAATAAATATTTCTACTAAATTCAATATTTATTATCTATATATAAATAAAATACATATAAATAAAATTGGAATGTCTTTTTGTAATATTGAAATAACCGTTTTTACTACATGCATATGAACATAAATACGGTACATTCATCAAAATAATAATTTTTACAATTTTTGTCTGTCTGTCTGTTTGTTCCGGATAATCTCTGAAATAGCTGGACCGATTTTGACGAGAGTTTTTTTAGCATGCAGCTGATGTAATAAGGAGTAACTTAGGCTACTTTTATTTTAGAAAAATAAAGTTAAATTCCACGCGGACGAAGTTACGGGTACAGCTAGTGGTAAATATAAAGAAAAGGCATACAAATGTGACATGCCGCGCTCTGCTCATAGACAGCCGTCGGAAAACTAGATTCGGCGCAGAATAAGACGGAACACTGTGCTGTTCACCCGACAAACCGCCTAGCTATAACCGACTGTAACGGTGGCTATAGATTTTTGGTGGACACCGGAGCAAATATCTAAGAGAATTCAATATTTACTCGCAACGTCCATTATTATGAAACAGTATGTCAATAGAAAAGGGCAGAGGAGGGCCGTCATATTATGTCCACAATTTCATACCTTCAAATGCTCCGTGAGGGCCTTCATAGAGTCGCACGGTAAATAGCAATGTACGCACATGTAACGCTTCAGTTTTGAAGATTGGGGGTGCACCGCGGTACGGTGGGCTGTAAGGTACCTGAAATAAAGCAGGTTGTACTTTCTCCACCAAACAACACGAGAATAGATTAAATGAAATTAATTATAAACAAGTTGATGTCATATTTGTTGGATAATTGTTAAAAAATATTATAATTATACTAATAATACCGCCCAACTTCGTCTGCATCACACTTATATCATTATATTTCGCTAAATTGACATATCTCTTTAAATTATAGCCTATGTGTTAGTCTAATGTATAAACAATAAAAAAATACCTAACGGTACCATGACACATGATATCCGAGAGTAACAGCTAGTAATATAATATATACATATAACATATGATATGTATACATTGAGGGAGTAAGGTCCAGAGCCGTGAAAATTTAAAACTATAATAAAAAATCACCTGTCCATATGAAATGCGACCCCACACAAGTGACAAACGTACGGCTTCAACCCATTATGTATATTCTGATGTTGTTCATACCAGGTCCTTACTTGGAAGCCTTTGCCACATTTCTCGCATTTGTACTGAAAAAGATTATTTTCTTATTTTTACTACATACAGTATTTTCCCCTGTACCATCCAAATTCAGAATTCAAATTGCAAATATCTTTATTCATGTTTGGAATGTTTGGAATGATTTCGAGATGAGAAGAACTGACAAGAAACTCAACTTGTATTTCTTTCAAATAAATGTTGTACATGTTTACAATAATACAGATCATTTTTAAATTCAAATTTGAGAGAACCTTGGGCCTGTGGACAACAAAAATCTGAAGATTTACCAAGCTGAAGTGGAAACGCCACTACATATCATATGTGATTGTAGCCCACTCATGCATAAATAAAATATCTCCCTTGGAAAATTTACAGGATACAGTATCCTGAGGAGCTAAAAACCATCACCCCATTCAGTTTTTGTCACTGACCAGTTTAGGTGCCGAACACAGGTCACAGTGTTATAAGTATAAACAGCTGACATTAGCCCAAACCCCATAAAAAAGTGGGTTCACATTTCATTACCTTATGTTCCAATCGATGTCTTCGCTGATGATCCTTCAATGCTCCTATATATACTGTGCTGTAGCCACACTGGTGGGCACAGTAAAATTTGTATCCATTATGCACTCTCCCATGACGGACAATATCGGATGCTGTTTTGTATGTCCTACCTGAAAAATTATGGAATAATAATTTATTTATTGGCATCATAACTAAGGGAGCTTACATTCATACTCACTTAGGTAGATTGCATATACAAATACACACAATAATTAAAAGAACTTTTATTTATAAATTTTTATATTACTTCTACTACTGCCATCCTAATGCTTTTTTTTTATTATTTTTATCATGCAATCAGTCTTCCAGACTATAAGCAGCCATTCTAATGCTAAACAATAAATCTTGACATTGTAACTTAATAGTTAACAAACCCAAAAGGTTGTGAGTTACAATCTGATAGAAAGAAAATATTGTGTCTAAATTGACATACATTCTCAACTTACAATCCAGTGAAGGAAACACCAATGACAAAATAAAAAATAACTACCAGAGATGGCAATCTCTTCGACTATTAATGTATTGATATTTGTTCATGTTACAACTAAAATAAAAAGGTTGAAGTGGAAATGGACTAGAGATGGCAATAGTCTCTTCGACTATTAATGTATTGTATACCTTTGTTAACCCCATTCAGGACTTTAAAATCATGATGTTATATAACATTAATTTTATAACAAATTATCTGTATGTTTATAGGCAAATATAGTCAATACCTATACCTTTGTTAACCCCATTCAGGTTTAAAAACAAAATGTTACATTAAATAACAAATTATCTGTATGTTTATAGGCAAATATAGCACCAGGGTGCACCTGCGGTAGGTCACTTGTTCATTTTTAAGGCTGTGTCTACGCTCTAACACTTACCACAGATCTTACAAATAAAAGGTCTACTTTCCGTATGTCCAACTACATGTCTGTTTATGCTTTTATTATTGCTATACTTCTTGTTACATTTATTACATTTGTACACATTTATACCATTTGAAGACAATATAGAATAATCCACATCTGATATTGTACTACCCTCTTTACTGGCATGTACTTTATTATAATGCCAAAGTAGACTACCTCGACTATCAACTAATTCCATACACATAAGACATTTGAAATTTTCATTTAAATTACTTTTATTTATTTCCATTTTGGCATTATAGTTTTCTTCTTTTGCCTTTTTCAATGATGACAGACTAATTTCGTCTTCAGAGCTGTAGTTTATGGAACTATCAAAATTGTCTATGATTTCATGTTTGATATTGTTATTTGGAATATCATTAGTATTAGATGTGAGCTTTGAAACGTTTAGAAGTTTATTTTCGTTATAATTCATGTTGCCACTATCTTTAACATCTATTCCATTTTTCAATTTCAAATAAAATTTATTCAACTCATCTGTTCCAGTTTTTAAGTAGTTGATCAACAGATTTTGATTTTCTGATACCATCTTGCGAAATATATATATATCCTCCAATTTGTTTAAACACATCTGGCATAATTGCATAGGTAGATGGTCGTTTTTCAATATCTGAAAATGTAAAATAAAATTGTATATATAAAATTCTCGTTACACAATGTTAGTTACCATACTCCTCCAAAATGGCTTGACCGATTTTGATTAAAGTTTATATTGATACTCAGTAGGTCTGAGAATCGACTACTATCTATGTTTCATAGTCCTAAGTGATAAGAGATGTCCACATCTAACATTTATTTTTTATTTATTGGACAATTTTTTTTTATTTTTTATAATGTGGCATTAAGAATACATACAACCCTAAATTATCACCCTTCTATCACCAATCCCTATTTTTTATTAGCTATTTTAATTTATATGACAGCTAGTAATGTATAAAATAAAAATAACGCCATTAGAAACAAGCAATTATCGGTGACATGGTCTGCTTTTTGAAGATATAAAATAGCTATAGCTGTTCTTGTTATTACAATCTATCTTTACGACTTTAAGTAAGATCCATTGTTCTTTCTTCATGAAAAGGTTACAAAAAACAGCTACACACTTTAAAATAGCATTTAAAATATTAGTATGAGTTACAATTACACTTTAATGGGAATAATAATTTAAATTACTAATAAGTAAATAGAAAAAGACATATAAATAAATGAACAATTTTTTTTAGTTAAATATCAATGAATTACAAACTTACGTTTATTGTAAGACATGTGTTCATTTTTTCTAATATTTCAATATTATTAACATCAGTCATTCCTTGCATATCATTCCGTACATTTAAACACAATCTACAAATTCCGTCCATAGTTAAAATATATAGGAATTATATATATTCTACAAATTAAATTAATTTCTTGTCTAAATCGTATTCAACTATATCACTTGTTTGTAAACAAAAATGAAAGTTTTTTTCTTCTGTTCTGTTTCGGTTTTAGTTTTCGGTCTCGTTTAAAGGAAAGGCAAAGGGAACTGTATCCATACAGCCAACTTCGAATGTTTGAAGATGACATTGACAGTTAGGCTATGTTGGGCTACAATGTCCATCGGCTAACTCACAAAACTCTATTATCTGTGACTATTTTTTTTATTTTTTCATGGATGATAATGGAATGGTGCACCTGCCTGCGCTAACGGTTTACGCTGACAGGGCACCAGTGGAGAATGATGATTAAATAACCACGAATTAACAACGATGGTTTCCAATGGGCACCGCGTGGAAATCAACCTAACATGGTACATTGCTAACAATGGGGACACCACTAACAATTATTGTATATACGATAGAGTATTCCTCGGTCTACGGTACACCCATTTGAGAAAGAAATCACATTACCTTTCATAATAATAGTAATAAATTATTTCAAGAAATAACAATCATATAGATTCTACATCATAGATCTTACATTTATTACAAACTAGTACCTAGTGCCCGCGGTTTTAACCGCATGAAATTTGTAATATACGTGTTATTTTGATATATAAGTTATCTACAACTTGATGTTTATAGTTCTGTTAGATAATGATCATTTAAGTAAAATCAGTATTTTTTTTTTTTCGGTCTCGGTGGTCTGGCGCTTTAGCACATCGAGTAGGTACTTCCAAGGATCGCGGGTTCGATTCCTCGCACCTTGTAAATATTAATGAGTTTGATTATAAGTATTAGTCTGGGGTTTTTTTATGTATATTAATTTAGTTATGTATTTAGAAAAGTATTTAACTTCTATCCGAAAGGTTGTTTATGTATTGTTATGTAGTTAATTTCTACCCGAAAGTTTGTGGATGTGGAAATGATGGATGTTTGTTACTCTTTCACGCAAAAACTACTAAACAGATGTTGATGAAATGTTATAGTAGATATATATAATTCATGAAAAGAATCATCAAAATCGGACCACTGACAAACGACGTGTGCTTGTTTTAATGTGCTTAATAACGTTATGTGCCCATATATGAATAATTAGCTGTTACAACTTTAGAGGAAAAATAAGCAGGAAAACGCATTTGCCTAACCTTGACATATACTTACGTGGTAGGTATAATTTAGTATCGAACAACGAAGTTATAGTTTTAAACTTAGTCTTCAACATGTAGGTACCTCAATATGTATTTAATTGAATTAATTTATGGATAACATAATATATTTATACAAACGTTTCATTATTCAAGTAGAAAATAATGCAAATATTTTAGTTTAGTTGTTTTTTTTATGACTGAGTTTGTTTTGTGTTGCAATAAATTAATAAAATGTTTGTGAAGTGCATTTTCGTTTTTATTACGATTATTTTGTCAGTTGGTAAGTAAAAATAACATTTAAAATTTGAATTATAAAAAAAATGTAGAGGAGGGAATTGTGTGTGCCGTCTGCCTCACAGTACATTTATGAAAATATTATGTATACAAGGAAAAACTTAGATAGTTTAGTTGAAGAAAGTTAAAGACTGTACAAGTAGAAACTTACGCAATAAAAATAAGTTAATTTTACCTAAATGCCGTCTACACAAAGTTAGTAATTCATTTTATGGTAATTGCGTAAGATTCTATAATAAACTGCCAGGATCTACGCTAAATCTGACAGAAAGGCAATTCAAATTTAATATTAAACAAATGTTATGTAAAAAAGTCTATTATAGGATAGATGAATTTATAGATGATAGCAATATCTAGCAAGAATAAGTTTATTTGCGGACAACGTTATAATTTATTTTTCATACTGCTTTCTTGATATATGATAGCGGCTTTTGTATTGATTGCCGCATGCATTCTCATGTAAAGTGTGAATACTGTAACTACCATATAGTATTTTTTGTAGTTGTGACGTGGTCGAGTGGAATGAGGAGTCATGCTCACTAAAAGGTCCACACTTGTGGCGGCGTTGTGGGCCGGATCCTTGGGCTCCCTAAAATATGGTCGAGCGCAGTGATGGCTGGCTCATCCGTCATACTCGTGAACGAGTGCTGCTTGTAGGGACTGGTCTGCTCTTATCACTACGACTGATTTAATCTTATTGTATATTTATATTTGAGCCAAAAAAAAAATAGTGTTGGTTGGTAGTTTGTATATGGTATATCACACGTTTCGACTTGTAAATGTAAACTTACAAGGATTATTTAAAAGAGCAACACACAAGTTTCTTGCTCGTTCTTCTGGCGATGAGACAGTTTTCCGAACGAGTGGTAGATAAAAAACAATTGTTATGACTATTCAAAAGTGCTTAAATAAAGTTTATTTGAATAAATGATTTTCTATTCTATTCTATTCTGAATATCACTTAAGTACTAGGATGCCGGTACAAGAAACTCAAATATGTTGTTAATCATTTTATTATTACCTACATATATAGATGGATTACGCTGTTGTAGTTCAAAAAGTTTTTTTTTGTCGCTGGTTAGTAGGTATAACGTTCCTCAACGTAAAACAAGTAAAAAGTTTTATATGGAACTGTGCAAACACTTTTTTAATATAACATTTCAACACTTCATGAGGTTAAACTGAATGTATATATATATATATATATATATATATGAACACATAGTTATTAATTTTAAGTTTATTCTCATAGGAGCAATGCGAACTCTTAAAACATAGTGTTTATTTGCTCAGTGGTCTCGCACGCGGATTCTGCCTAATGAGGATTCTTAATTCAAATTAGTTTGGTTTCATTTACATTAACCACTAGTATTCTTTTCTCAGACCAGGAATTGACATGTCAGTCCTATATTGTTTTTTATGGATGACAATGGAATAGTGCGTCTGCGCTAACGATTAATAAAGAAGGGGCACCATTGGTGGATGATAAGATGAAACATGAACACAATTATAGCAATATATCATGTCCCTGACTTCCACGCGGTTCCCCTAGAACTTCATGGTAAATTCTTGATGAATTTTATCACGATGAGCTAACTGACCTGACTGATTATTCTTGGTGGTTTACACATTATAGTCTTATGTCATTATGCTGTTAGCTTCAATATATAAATTTAGAGTAATTGATAATTTGAATTATCGGTAGCGCCACCGTCGTGCGCCCAAATAATCCGTATAGGGTATTTCAATGGGAGAGAGAAATGTAGCGTCCTCCCCTCTGATCGATCCCCCATCCAATTCTAACGGGGATCGTAATTACGACGGCCTGAGACGAGGTTCGAACCCCTAGCGGTGTCATCAGACTAAAGACGTATCCGTCAGACGAGGCGATTTGGCCTTCAGCCGCTCCATAAGTCCTTCCGCGGGTTTGGAGTGCCATCTGTACTCGCCCCCTATCGTCCGGTGAAGCTATAAAGTCTATCTGCGTCCAACAGCATTAGAGTAGACCGAAAAAAAAGGGAGCGACCTTTAATCTGTTCGACGCAACCGAGATGATCAGATGTGAAAACAATCTCGGCCCGCGATATGAAATACAGCGAGGCAATTATTGTGCAGTGTAATTTGAAATGGAAATAAAAATCAAATACAACTGCATCAATCATTTCTGAAACTTTCCAATAATACAACCTTATATAAAAACAGTATCGCGTTTTGACGTTACTTTCTATTTTTATAATGTGTCTAATATTATTACATTTCAGTAGCAGATACAAAAGATGAACACACAAGTGCGGTACCAGAAGCATCCACAATAACGACAAATACTACAAGTGAGTGCATCCAATATTACACACGGATTGTTAACCCTAATCATAACTAGAGATATGCAAACTCGTAAGACTCGAGTTAACTCGAGTAGGAGGAAATATTTTTTTTATATTACGAACTGTTCTAATGGTTTTGGACTCAGCTGTGCTTGACATATTACACGTCTCACTACTACTCACTACTCATTGCCAATTCGAAAATGTCCTAAACAACGGATTTCCTTTTAGTCTCGGCATCTACTCGAGTTACTAACTCGCGTTAACACATCTCTAATCATGACCGATATCCATCCAATCCAGCTCATCCACAATTTCTATTAAAGCCTTGATTCTTTTATGAACAAGCTCTATCTCGTGGAGTCTCCTGCTTCCTCGACATAAATATCCTCGTGTATCTATATATTTTCACGTCAGATTTGTGTAACCAATTTTTTTACAGCACGCAATATTTGCAAGCAATTATAAATTACCAGCTACCAGCCCCGCCTTCGCACGGGTGTACATGTATTATACATGTAAACACCTTCCTCTTGAATCACTCTATCTATTACTAGAAACTGTATTAAAATCCGTTACGTAATTTAAAAGATGTAAGCGAACAGACAGCGTATCAGAAGCGACTTTATTTTATATTATTTAAAGATTATTTTTGATGGTTTACGTATTAGAATATTATGTCATTACGGTCGATAAAAGTAGGTACCCAGTTTTATTGTTTTTTATATTGTGTCTAATATAGTAGTACATTTCTGTAGCAGATGCAAAAGAAGAACACACAAGTGCAGTAACAGAATCATCTACGACATCGACCACAGTAACGACGACAAATACTACAAGTGAGTGCATCCAATATTAGACATTTGTTAACCGTAATCCATTCCATCCGATTCATCCGCAATTCCTATAAAGGCTTGCACTCTTTTATGAACTAGCTTTCCTCGTGGAGTCGTCTACTTTTTTTATATAAACGATAGTTTATGTCCGTCCTCGTGATACCTATTATCGCGTCAAATTTCATTTACAGTCTGTAAACATACACTTTTATAATTTATTTATTTATACTCCATGTTATACTAGATAGAGAAAATAATTAAAATACTTGTTATTTTAATAAACAGAT